TAATTATTACAGGAGACCTTAACACACCACTGACACCAAGGAACAAATCAAATAGAAAATCAGCAAAGAAATAAAAGAACTGAATGACACCTGTGAACAAATGGCCTTGATAGACATACATAGAGTGTTCCATTCAACAACATCAGAATACACACTCTTCTCAGAAGTACATGAGTCATTCTCTAAAATAGACCATATACTTGCCCACAGAACATATTAAATAAATGCAAAAAAGTTGAAATTATCCCTTGCATGTGATTGGATCATAGCTCCATGACATTAGAAATTAATGGTAAAAGATACTTCAAAAATCCCACAAGCACATGGAAGTTGAATAACACACTCTTGAGCAATCAGTGGGTCACAGGGGAAATTAAACAATACCTATAAGCAAATGAAAACAAAAATACAACTTACCGGAGTCTGTGGGATGTAATGAAAGCTGTCCTCAAAGAAAAATTTATTGCACTGAGTTCCCACATCAGGAAAACAGAACGAATACAAATAAACACCTGATGTTACACCTCAAACATGTAGAAAAAGAAGAGCAAATCAAGCTCAAAGCCAAAAGAAGAGAGCAAATTATAAAAATCAGAGGAGAAATTAATGCAATAGAGACTAAGAAAACAATCCAAAGAATCAATGAATCAAGGAGTTGGTTCTTTGAAAGAATAAATAAAATTGATACGCCCCTAGCCAACCTTATTTTAAAAAGGGAAGAAAAAGATCAAATTCATGCAATAAGGAACGAAAAAGGCGAAATCACTACAGACTCTGTAGAAATACAGATGATCATCAACATCTATTTTGAAAACCTCTATTATCATAGGTTCGATAACACAGAAGAAATGGACAGATTCCTAGAAACATATGAAGTAACAAAGCTAGGTCAAGAAGATGTAAAACTGCTGAATAAGCCAATTCCTATTAATGAAATTGAAAACGTAATTAAGTCCTTACCTCCAAAGAAGAGCCCAGGCCCAGATGGATTCACTGCAGAATTCTACAAGAAGTACAAAGAAGACTTAATGCTAACACTCCTTAAAATCTTCAATGAAACTGAAAGGTCAGCAATCCTTCCTAAGTCATTCCTAGAAGCAAATATTACTCTAGTACCAAACCTGAGCAAGACCCAATTAAAAAGGAGAACCACAGGCCAATCTCGCCAATGAACACAGATGCAAAAATCCTCAATAAAATATTGGCAAATAGGGTGCAGCAAATCATCAAGAAGATTATACACCCTGACCAAGTGGGATTCATCCCAGTCATGCAGGGATGGTTCAACATATGTAAATCAATAAATGTAATCCACCATATCAATAAAACCAAAAGTAAGATCATTTCTAGAGACTCAGAAAAAAAGCTTTTGATAAGGTTCAACATTCATTTATGATGAGAAACTTAAAGAAAATTGGAATAGATGGTCTTTACCTCAATATAATAAAGGCCATCTATGACAAACCTACAGCCAGTCTCATACTAAATGGCCAAAAATTGAAGACTTTACCTTTAAAATCAGGCACAAGACAAGGATGTTCCTTATCACCGCTCCTATTTAACATAGTACTGGAAATACTAGCCAAAGCAATTAGACAAGAGAGAGAAATAAAAGGAGTAAAGATAGGAAAAGAGGAAGTTAAATTATCAATATTTGCAGATGACATGATACTCTACATAGAAGACCCCCAAAACTCCATTGAAAGACTCTTAGATATAATAAATAAATTCAGCAATGTAGCTGGATACAAAATCAACACTCAAAAATCAATAACGTTCCTATACACTAACAACAAAATCACTGACAGAGAAGAGAAGCCACACCCTTCATACTAGCAACCAATAAAATGAAATATTTAAGAATTACTCTCACAAAAGAGGTGAAAGACCCTTACAAGGAAAATTATAATACACGGAAAAGAGAAATTGAAGAGGATCTCAGAAAGTGGAAAGACATCCCTTGCTCATGGATAGGAAGAATAAATATTGTGAAAATGGCCATTCTCCCAAAACTGTTATGCAGATTCAATGCAAGCCCAATAAAAATACCATCCACATACCTCACAGATCTAGAGGAATCACTCCTAAAATTCATCTGGAACCAGAAGAGATCTAAAATAGCAAAGACAGTTCTAAGCAACAAAGGCAAGGCAGGAGACACCACAATCTCTAACTTGAAGTTACACTACCAAGCAACTGTAGTAAAATCAACATGGTACTGGCATCAAAACAGAGCTGAAGATCAATGGAATAGATCAGAAGATACAACCACAACTACTCAACTACCTTATCTTTGATAAAGGAGCCAAACAGGTTGACTGGAAGAACAACAGTCTCTTTAATAAATGATGTTGGAAAAACTGGTTCTCTATATGCCGAAAACTAAAACTAGACCTATCACCATGTACTAAATTAAAATCTAAATGATCAAAGATCTGAATATTAAAACAGAAACACTAAATCTATTGGAAGACAAATTCGCTATAAACCTTGAAGACATAGGGGTAGGTAGAGAATTCATGAAGAGGACTCAAACTGCACGGGAAACACTTCACCAGAATCAATAACTGGGACACCTCTTATTAAAAAATTTCTGCATGTCAAAAGAAATCTCCAGCATAGTGAAAAGAAAACCCACAAACTGGGAAAAGATATTAATGAACTGTCCTTCAGACAAAGGACTTCAGTCTGAAACATATAAAGAATTAAAAAAAATCAGACCCCCAAAATTCAGAGATTCAATCCAAAAATGGGCATCTGAGATGAACACACAATTCTCAGATGAAGAAATATAAATAGCAAATAAATACATGAAAAAATGTTCATTGTCATTAGTCATTAGAAAAATGCAAATTAAAACTACACTGAGATTCCATCTCACTTCTGAAAGAATGGCCAGGATCAAGAAAACCACCACCGACAAATGTTGGAGTGGCTGTGGGGAAAAAGGAACTCTCCTGCACTGTTGGTGGGAGTGTATACTGGTGCCACCATTGTGGAAGTCAGTCTGGAGATGTCTCAAAAAGCTGGGACTGGAAGTCCCATTTGTTCCAGCTATTCTATTTCTAGGCATATTCCCAGAAGATCTGAAAGCATCATACCACAGTGATATATGTGCACCCATGTTTATAGCAGCACAATTTGTAATAGCCAGATCTTGGAAACAACCTAAGTGTCCATCAACTGAGGAATGGATAAAAAAGTTGTGGTACTTTTATATAATGGAATACTACTCAGCAGTAAAGAATGATCACATTGAGATATTTATAAATAAATGGGCACAGCTTGAGATCATACTCAGAAGTGAAATAAATCAAACCCACATGGATAAATACCAAATGGTTTCCCTAGTGTAAGAAATGATAACAATACATAAAAGTATGCAGTAATCATCATTCCCCATATTGCTTTGAAGCCTTATAATGTTTTCATTCATTAATTGGAATGGTTTTACTCTGAGCTGTTTGATCTTATTGTTGGTGATTGTATGAACAGCTATTTTGAAGAAAACACGACATCATAATAGCTAGTGCTGATTTAATATCATCGTTTTGAAGTCCCATCAAGCTTTTGTTCTTCGTATCTATCAGTCTTAACATGTATCTTATTGGATTTTATTATATGTGATAATACAAACAAAAACTTATAGACAAGGAGATAATATAGAAACCATTGTTCATTTTCTGTTAGTTGGTTCTAAATACCCTGTAATACTTTCATTCTCTTGAATGGCTTTACATTGCCTTGATATGTTTGATGCTACAGTATATAAAGTTATACTCAAATATTCCAAGGAAAGAGACACTAAGGTAACTACTGTTATGTCGGGATATCTTGTGGTGAAACACAATTTTGCTTAAATGGTTATGTTCTGACATGTGCTGTTTTGTTGTTATGTCCTCTTTTATCTCAATCTTCTTTTTTATTATTGATTTTCTTATTTTTATCTTTTTCATTAAAGGAAAAAATAAATTAAAAATAGCAGGATATATTATAGTAACCACTTTGACTTCCTATTAACTTGATTTGAAGCCCTGTCTTGCTCTCACCATCTTGACTGATTGTACTCTATTTTGGGGAGGGGGGTGTTGGTAGTATCAAGTTTGAGGATGTTGGCAACTACTTTGAAGACAATAATATTCACTATGATGCCCATTCTGCTTTGACTATTATCTTCTTTTGAAGTCCTGTAATGTCTCCAATGCTTAGGTTTTATTGGTTTTGTTCTGTACTGTTTTGTTCAATGTTATTATAACTGATGATATAGGCAATTCTTTTTAAGATAGCAAGAGGCATTAGGGTAACCATTGTTGAAAACCTTTTATTCTGTTTTTACATCATGTACTATGTCCATCCTTTTGATTTGACTGACTCTGTTTTGTTATGTCACATTTGGTTTTATTCTCTTCAAAAAAAAAGCAATGAGAACTGTTGGAGTAATAAAACCCAAAATGTGTAAGTGTTATTGTAAAAAAGAGAGGAAAAGAAAGTGCTCTAAAGTATATAACTGCATGTATATTTAAGTGTATAAGATTGATAACCACATTACTGAATTTTTGTTGGATCATTGAACAGAACTGTTTGCAGTCTGACTGTTTGAATGTCCACTTTGTATGTATGTTTTAATTTTGTAACTTGAACAACTATTTCTAAGATGACAATATGTAATCTATTAACTAGTGGTTTCTTACTATTCATTTTTTTGAAATTCTGTATTACTTGTACCCTTTTTCTGTTTTTCTTTTTTTTTTTTTTTTTTTTTTTTTTTTTTTTTTTTAAGGGATGGAGATTTAACTCAGCCACATAAGCACCTGCCTGGCAAGTGCAAGGTCATGAGCTGAATCCCCAGTACCAGAAAAAAAAAAAAAAAAAATGCAGCTCTAGTATTTACCAGCACTTCTTCCAATGGGAGCCGCAAATATTCAGTTAAGTTCTGAAATAAACTGAAGTTCTCCCCAGAGAAATTTCAGGACACAGTTCTGTCCAAGTAGACAGAAGCACTCACTTCAGCACGTCATTATTTGACATAACACAAGGAGAACAGGAGCTGAGGATTTGAACAGCACCATCAGAGTAAAGAAAACAATGTTAAAAGGATTGCTCAGCTCACAAACAAGGTGAGGGTCCTAAGGTTTTTTTTTTTTTGGCTTTTTGGTTTTTTTTTTTTTTGTTTGTGAGGAAAGCTTCATTTACAAGTCTAATTTCTGAGACTTAAATATCTTATTGTACTTTAAGAAGACTGTGCAGATTTTTAAACTTCAGGAATTATGAGTCCTTAAAACCATGGAAGATTGATTTCATGTTTTTTGTTTGTTTTTCTTTTAGAGCATTTTGATGCAGGGTTGGCAGGAAAGAGGTGCCTGTAATCAGTCAGCATTTTAAATGAGGTAACAGGGTATAATTGTCTACTGACCACTGCACGCATTTGTTTATGACATGCTCCCCAGGCTTTTAAAGGTTCATTGTTATTATCACCTCTTCACTGGGGGAGCTCTCTCTTTCCACTTCTCTTTTTAATTCTCCAGTTCTTCTCCCCTCAGTCTTCACTTCCTTTGTGGGCAATACAAGAAGGCATGTTTCCTTCCAGCTGGCAAGGCATTAAGGAGGTCGAAAGGGGTGTGCAAGAGTGACTTACACACTCCCCCGAGGCCAATTACACTTGGAATCCTCCTGATCTACCCTGATCTGGGAGCCAGGCTTCCCCTCACAGCCCATTGTGCTAGCTCTGAGCCACCTGATCAGCCTGGTTCTACCCAGTATTTAAATTAGGGCGTCGCCAGCCCTAGACCCATGTGAGGGCCTCTAGGTAACACTAGGGAATAAATTAACATTCTACTGTTGTTCCAAAGCCACATGGACACCATTATTAGAAAGCCATCAGCAATAAAGGGGGCTGTTCTGCAGGTCTCAAAGAAAGGGGATGAAATAGCATCATGCAATTGTGTGCTATTGCACTGTCTTAATACAAAAATTAGCGCGTTGCCTTTGTTATTCTGGTGGGAGGGCAATTTACAGTTTAATACGGCACCACATTATGTAACTGGTAGTGTAACTTTACTGCATGCATTCCTTTCAAGATCACAAAATACAGCGAAAAGAAAAGAAATGAAAAAAAAAAAAATGTTCAGTCTGTGTTCATGTGCTAGCTGAGCCAGCAATCCTAATCACCACCCAAAGGCTAATGTTAAGTGGTCAAGCTGGTTTACAGAAACACTTGCATAACAGAGCAGTGACAGAAAAGGACGATGTGAGAAAGGTTAACAGACATCAAACAAACTGGCCTTCAGTAAGAATTACTTGAGAAAATGTATGTTTCAAAATCAATAACAAAGCTCTTTACAGAATTTTGGAAAGTAAAGGGAAAGTCTCTGAATTTATTGTGAACAAACCTTGGCAGGACATCACAATGAGATAATTTGATTTTACAGCAATAAGAAAAAAAGAAAGATAGAATGAAAGAAAGAGAGAGAGAGAAAACAAATATATATATATATATATATATATATATATATATATGTCGAGATTTTTTTTGCCTTCTTTTTGTTTGTTCTGTTTTGTTTCAAGGCAATTTATCATATTGCTACTGAAATTATGTGTGAATTTCCACAATAAGCTTCATGATCTTTCCCATTCAGATTATACATTTATGAGGTAATTATATTTTTCTATCAGTGATTTTACTTTTCACTATTTTTATCACCTGCGTTACAATGTCCTGAACTGGACACCAAAGAAAAATTGAGGGAAATTATATGCCTTGAACAACTCAGACACTTTTTTTCTATTAGGTAATAAAAACAGTCTTAGGTAAAATGTTATTGTCATTCTTTTCTCTTGAAAAGCTATGAATATAATGCTAATGTGAAAAAATACAAGTGGTTTCTGTTTTAGAAAAAGTACAGCTCAAAGTTATGTTTTTTGCTTAAAATAAATAGGCAATTTATAGTACATAAAACTTTTAGAATTTGGGAATTTGAAGTGTATTTTTAAAAACCACTTATCATTTTAAGAGTCAGAATAATCAAATTTCAATGCTGATTCTGTAGCATATTTTATATCTTTCCTAGGAGGGAATTCTTAAATTGTATAATCACTCCAATTTGTATGATTTTCCTGTGTACTCTAGGTTAAGTCGAACAGTAATAAAACTATGCCAATAATAAAAATTAGTAAATGTATATCAAAAGTTTGATTGAAAATTCATAACATGTAAGGAAAAGTATACTTAAATGAATCACATCAAGTTGAAGTCCCACTCAAAATACTAAAATATATTTCACCACAGTTTTTCCCTTTAAAATAGGTAATTAAGATAAACATTTCAAAAATAGTATGTCAACCATGTACATGAAAGTATATAATATCAATAATAAACATGAAAAAATTTCAACCTTCCTAGAGATTCCAAATAACAAGAAGATATTTATAGCTTAGTCAAATGTGTAAAGACTTAAAAATGAAAAAGCCAATGAATTTATAGTGAGACAAATAATCAACATTAATGGTGCTAGTTTGAATAAGCACTATAATTCTGAAGAGCAATTTGATAATCCAGGTCTTAAAAATTTTCATGTCTATCATTAATTTCACTTCTTGAACTACATACTAAAGAACCAGTACAAATTTTTCAAAATGTATCAAATGCAGTTTATTTCTGTATAACTAGTATAACCAAAATATTACTTCTTAATTGAGAGGAAATACGTTATGGCTAAGTAAATTGTGTTGTGTAATATGTAACATTATGCAGCTATCAAAAGCAATTGTCAAGAAATCTTTTTAGAGTCAGAGGATGCAGATAACATGATCTTAAACTTCAAGAGGCAAGGCTCAAAATGGGTATATGATTGGATTCTAATCATATTATAATCTTCTCTCTCTTTCTCTCTCTCTCTCTCTCTCTCTCTCTCTCTCTCTCTCTCTCTCTCTCTCTCTCTCTCTCTGCAGAGTTTACTCTTACAATTCAGCCTCACACTGTGAGGAAGCCTAAACAGTCACATGGAAAGGCCCTGGGAAACAGGAATAGAACTAATTCCCTTCCCCGGTAGTTCCAGTTGTGCGGTCATCCTTGTCAAAGTGCCAGATGGGCAAGCAAATACATCTCAGACCTCCCAGACCAGCTGTCCTGCCAACTTAATGTCACTAAGTGAACCTCCAGCAATGCCAGGTGAGAAGAGGGAGAAATGACCACTAAACCCTGTCAAATCCCAGATCTAATTACAAGATGTAATACAATGGTTGTTGAGATTCTAAATATATACATAGCTGTAGATGCAGGTACAGAAAATAAAAGTAGGTAGATAGGAGTCTAAGTGGAATGATTGCAAGGTAATACTTTAAAATATTAACACTCATGATCTTTCAGGACAACATTTATCAGTGATTTTAATACTGCTGGGCTTACTAAAATTTCAGGGATAAATATCTATCACTTTTAGTTCACAATGTTACTTGATAACTGATGAATAATCACTTAAAACAAAATACATCTTTTTGGTTTTACTGGTAAGACATAATTTGTATATCTTTACAGAGTATCTTATGATAATTCAATATAGAAAAACACAGGGTACTAAGCAAGTCAAGGTAGTAAACACCTCTATCTCCCAACATTAATTATTCTTATTTATTGGGAATGTCATCCTCATTTATTTTGAAATAGATCACAATTATTGTAATCAACACTTATTTATGCAGCTATAAAATACCAGAGCTAATACTGTTCTTTGTGATTTTGGTAACTGATATCTAATTCCTGTCTGTCTTCCCTTCCCAGTTCCCAGAGATAACCATTCCATTCTTTCATGAGATCAGTTTTTTAATTTCCAAAAAGAATCAGTGAGAAGATGGGATATTTGTCTATCTGTGTCTGGCTCATCTCACTTAACATAATAACCTCCAGCTCTGTGTTCTTACTAAACACAACATTTCTTTTTTGTGGTGAATCATATTCCACTGTGTATATAAAGCTCCCCATCCTTTTCCATTCATCCACTGGTTGAATTCAGTATTTTGGGCTGATTGGAATCAACCTTATTTGATTCTGCATCTTGGTTCTTGTGAATAATGCTACAGGAAAAATGGGAGAGTGGCTATCTCTTTGGGAAAACAAAACATATTTTAACATAATATATCCAGAGAAATACAGGCAGAGACACTTTGGATTAAAATATCTGCTTTGAGATTTAAATAATTTAAATGACTTTCATTAAAATTTAAAAGTGAAAATGCTTTTCTTAAATGCTTGCTACTGAAACTGTCTTTTACTGAATCTAACCAAATTTAGAAAATAGCAATGACTATCTTTCACCTGGGTCATGTCAGATCTTTGGTGAGACCTTTGGTAACCCCATTGTTACCGAAATGGTAACAATCTGCAGGAGAACAGAATGAGGACCAGTGTCCCTACTTAGAATACAGCTCCAGCCAATTGCTGCTTATACAAAATGCGAACCCAGTGTTTCCAAACTCTTGCACTTTCCAAGAGAAAAGGGAAGTTTAGATTTCATGTAGACATGTATGTATTTGTCTCTTTCTTGTCACTCAGATATGACACCAGACTCCAGCATTATAGTTCATGGTTTCAGTCAAATATCAGGTGGAGATAGGATGGCAGAGAGGCATGGCAGAGGAGATGGTCCTCCAGCACGGCCACCCAGAAGCAGAGAGAAAAGAGAGGAACTGGAGACAAGAATACAACCTTCCAGGCCACACCCAAAGAGAGCTGCCCACAACCTGGCCCCGCTCCTAACATCACGTTCATCTACCAAACTCTCAGATGGATGAATTCATTGATGATCATGGCATCCTCATAATTCAATCAACCTCCAAGCACATGAGACTTTGGGGACATTTTGGGTCTAACTGTGTATTTTTATGCATTAAATACACTCATTTTCAACAGTTGAAAACTAATTCACAGTTTTAAAATGTGCAGAATCAGCTGGGCCCTAGCAGCCCTCTGGTGTTAATATTGACAACAATTTTGCTCATGGTTGACTCAAGGAGCCCAGATGGCGAAAATACAGGGCTATATAATTTAGAGAAGCATACCTTTCTGAAAAGTTCCATGTTTTCCTGGGTTAGCTCTGCACCATGATTTTTAGGATGACCCAGACACCAGCTAGTTTGCTTATAGAATAACGCTATCCACAAGTAAACCTGGAACATTCCCCATAAAGACACAATGCTGAGTCAAAAAGTAATTTTTATAGTTCCATGTTGTAAAATTCCCTATAAACCCACAATTTCCAAGCTGAAGCTTTCAGTAACTTTTGCTCAGGCTGCTGAAGGGGTTAGAGACAATGGATTGGGGTGGGGAGTGATTATCTGAGTTTGTAGAAAGAGAGGTGTAAATCTTTAAATCCAGTTTCCATAGTTTTTGATAATGCTTGCATCATTTTGTTGAAGGCAATCATAATGGCATTGACTAATGAACTCTGCATGCCAACTACTGTGTTAAGGGCTCAGTATCCAGAAATGGACTAAGTCTTGTTCTCTCCTGCTAGTGAATGAAAGAGGTACAGAAAAGAACCATTGTATTGCAGTGTGATCCACTATGAAAGAGGAAAGAACACAGTGTGCCTCCTGGCAGTCAGAGATCAAATCCAAGTGGATGCAGGAGAAAGTTATGCAGAAGAGATGCCTGGAACTCCCTGAACCAGAAAGGCAGCGGTGCCTGACCCAGGGAAGCTGTGATGGAGCCTAGCATGGGAGGAGCTAACAGCAAGTCCCAGGTCACACTAAGAGTTTAAGCTCGATTAGTGGTGGTGTAGCTCAGAGGAAGGCTTCAAGCAAGCTAAGTATGAGCACAGCATATCTGTGTTTTAGGGGAAAAAAAATCACTGAGGACAGCTCAGAGCCCTGAATGGGGCAGCTCAGAAGCTAGAACTGAGGTAAGAGCTGTTTCTCTAATGCATGAAAGAACCATGAAGACCTCTAAGCAACAGTGAGAAAAGGAGAGATTTCAATGCTTTGTGCATGGTACATAATGTACAGTAAAAATAATTATACCTTAACTTCTTTTCTTTTTAACACTTTATATCATAATAATCACATATTCTGTCTGTTACCACAAAGTGCAAAATTAGTGAAATTTAAAATCCATAAACAACTAATGACTGAAATCGTACATCAATAAGAGCTTACATTAAAGAAGAAAAAGCACACCATCTAGTCTCAATCTAGAATTTTTAGGTTTTCTTGATGCTTATTCCCATGACAAATAATTCGTTAAAATAAAGGTTTATCCCTTTATTGGGATTGGCGGAGTGTAAAGTGTTACGGCATTTGTCTTAGTCCGGTTCCTAAAGAGCAGAGCCTGTTGCTGAGAGCTCGCTGGCTGCTACTTTATCAGGAAAGAGGGTCCCAGAGCAGGCAGAAGAGTCGCGGAAGGCATTGGGGAGAAAGGACTCTTACAAGGTTGCCATGGTGCCTGTGATGCCAGTCTCTGCTGAGTGCAGCTAAGGACTCTGGCTTCCTAGAACCTTCACACACAATTTCTCCAAATAAGCTGCCAGAGGATGGAAAAGGAGGAAGAAATTGGTCACCAGCCTCTACTTGCCATGGGTTAATAAAGTCATCCCATTCATTCCCTGCCTATTTCCCATTTGTGGATGTGCAGAGCCTGAGCTTGAAGCTAGATTTAAGATGCCCCACACCTGGCACTAACACCTGTACGAAAGGAGAGAGATTGGTGGTGTCAGGGTGAACCTGCCTGACCCTCGGCCGCATGCTAGAGCTGGGGCTGGGACGAGACTGGGGGAGTTAATCCTATAGGAAATTGTACTTCTCAGCTCACTGATACTGAAGCTTGCTTCTGGATACACAAATCAGGATGGTTCATGAAAATTAAAACAACCTTGAACAGTTACAGACTTACCACTAAGAATTTATTTTTGAGATGAGAAATGCAAACACAAGTAAGATTATTTAGGAGTCTGTATTGTTCAACCATTCAATAAATATTTGCTTTTTGTCTTAATGGTGCTGTGACAGACTCTCAAAGCATGTAATGCTCTAATCATTGCACGCTGTGATCTGTTCAGGCTGCTTCCTCTCCTCCTGTTCTCCTAACTTCTCACCTGAGACTCCAGGGTCCATTGCCACAGCTATGCATCTACATATGTCCACTCCCTTGCCCTTCTCAGGGGCCTTGTGATACAGAAGAATCAAAAGAGATTAACTCCTAGAGCCACATCCTCCTGCCTCCCCTGGCGTCACTCCTCCTGCCACCCCTGGCTTCTGCGTCCATGGGCAAACTGTGTGACTTTTTAGAAAGGGGATTGTTTTCAGTTTTGGAGAATGGAAACTGGGATTCAATTTTTTGTTTGGTTGTGCTTGTTTTTGTTTGCTTTTTGAAATAGGGTCTCCATAAGTCACTGTGTTGTCCAGACTGGGCTTAAACTTTTGATCCTCCTGCCTCAGACTCCCAGATAGATAAGATTACACCCCATCATCCTCTGCTCTTCTGGTTCTTATTAGTGCCAGCTCTCACAATTTTTGGTTCTATCCCATCTTATCTATATGGAGATACTGACCCAGAATTTGTCCTGTTTGCCTTCAGTAATCAGTTTTTCTTCTCTACTGGATCAGTAAACAGGCATGCTAGGATATTCTGATCTTCATTATACCTCATACCTCACCCAGCTGAGGAGCCAACATCTCCTGCCTCTGTCTCCCTGGGTAGAATTCTTCTTAGCTTTTCCTTTCATTTTCCCCTGAACCTCCCTCATTCCCACCTCTCTACCAAACTGTTCTTTGCTGAGATCACTAATGACCACACCCTGATAAATGCAGTGGAGATTAGTAGTCCTAATCTATTTACATAGCAATGGCATTCATGCAGACTGTCTTGTCATTTTTTAAAAAGTTTTCTTTTTCCCACTTGGAATCAGGGTATCATTCTTTGTAAATTTCCCATCTCATTATCTATTCCTTCTTCTTCTATTTCCTTCTGTCTCCCCAAACTCTAAGCTTTGTAACATCTTAGGCCTCAGTCTTGTTACTGTGCCCTCAGATTTGAGACGACCTCACCCAATTCCTGTGGCTGGAAATGCCATCTGTTCCCTGAAGATGCCCAATTGTAATGTCTCCAAATGTAATGACCTCGCCCTTGAATTCCAGACTCACACATCTGGCTGACTGCCTGACATCTCTAAGTGTCTAAAAGGCATCATAAACTTATTGTGTCAGAAATAAATTCTCTCATTTGCCCTACCACCACCAAAGCCAGTTCCTCCCACAGCCTTCTCATCTCTGAAAATGGGCTGAATAATAAAAATCTTGTAGTCATCTTTGTCTGACTTTCTCTTTGTATTCTATGCATAGTCTATCAGAAAACTATATGACCTTCAAAATGTAACCAGAAAATAGAACTTGTCTACATTACAGTCTTCATCCAAATGATTATTTTTTATTTTAAATGGAATAAAACTAAAAATAAAAGAAACAGTAAAGCAAATCAACACAAAACAATGATAATTGTATAGAACTTCAAAACAAGGTATAAGGAATCAACAATGACTACCATAAAGTCTCTTGTTATCTTCAAAATAGATGCCCATAACATCCGACATAATAAAATCAAACACAACAGACCAAAATAAAACCAATCAAAACAAAGCAATGGAAGTTATATAGCACTTCAAAACAAGATAATGGGAAATCAACAATGGCTACTATATATATTTTGTTAGCCTCAAAATAGCTGCCCATATCATCAGATACAATAGAAACTAAAAAACAGAATAAAATCACACAGAATGATAAAAATGATGTAAGATTTCAAAACAAGATAATAGAAAATTAGCAATGGCTACCACTTCCCCTTTTAGACATTTCCTCTCCTTTCATTTTCACAATATCTACTCTATTTTGGATCCTCCTTCTAGGACGACAATACTCCTTCTAGGGCAAGAATGCAATGCTCACCCATGTGAGTCTGAAACATTTCATCCAGAAGCATGATCTCAAGTTGTGTCCATACCTACAAGAGCCTCAAGATTGTCTTTCTTTACACCCGAGTAGCTTTCCATTGTATAAAAATGTCATATCTTTCTTATGCATTCTGCAGTTGATGGGCAAGCTACCCTTGCTTTTTTCTGGATCCTCACTGCATGGAGCATTGTGTTCTCCTCGCCAACCTTCATTGCATGAATTTCTTTTTGAGTCACATGTGTTTCTTGTACACAGCATATTATTTCCTTTTATTGCTGAATTGAGGTCATCTACATTAATGTTTACAACCAGCATACACCGATTTGTCTCTGACATGCTATTCCCCTGCCGTTGGTCCTCTACTTTTCTGATTCATTTTTTGGCCTGTGCTGCTTGGAGATGTCCCTGGTACCATTGTTCCTGGAACCATGATTATTTTTAATCTCTCTCTTGAATATCCTTCTTGTGTCAGGGTTAGTTTGGTGATCAGGAATTCCTTCAACTGTTCTTTATCATGGAAGTATCCTAACTCCCCACTAATTTTGAGAGCTTTTCAGAGTATATCAATTTGGGTTTGAAGTTGTTTTCTTTCAGGATTTGAAACACTTTAAACTCTTTTTGACTTGATGGTTTATGTTGAGAAGTCTACCATGATTCTAATGGGTTTTCCTTTATAGATGATCAGTTTCTTTTTTCTATCAGCCTTTAATATTCTGTTGTTGTGTTGAATTTCTGGGACCTTGATTATTATATGTCTGGGTATAGATTTACTTTGTTTATGGCTGATCTGTATGTCAGGTCTTTTTCCCATGCTTGGGAAGTTTTCCACTATTACATCTGTATATGTCATTTGTGTTGAACCCTCATTTTTTTCACTGACACCTATCAGTCTTAAATCATTTTTCTTTGTTTTTTCATGTGGCCATTGAATTGTTATTTCCTGGTTCCTTGTTATTTCTAAGAGATCTTTCCTTTTGCAATCACTAGCTGCTATCCTGTCTTCAAGATCTGAAAGGCTGTCTTCAGTTTCTTTCAAGCAGTTTTGCCAGCTTTCAATGAAGTTTATAATTTCCTAGATACTTCTTTGAATCTGCTTCATGCATTATAATCCTTCCTATATCATTCATTCAAGATTTCTATCATCTTCCTATGCTCTTCTTTTTTATCTATGTCTTCTTTAGATATGCTCAACATTTCTTTCATTATGCTTGTAATTTATTCTTTTACCTTTTACCAGATATTATTTCTGATCTGATTACTATTACAGCCTCATGAAGTTGTTTCTTTACTTCAGTTTTTGTCTTTTCAGAAATTTTAGGTGTGTGACTTCCAATTTATTTCATATCTATGTCTCCCAGATCTGTTCTGGGTGTGCTGGAGGCATAAGATTGCCTTCTGCTTCTTCGAATTGAGATTTTTCTGGGTTCCTATGTAAGAGCTGGTTGTGGGATCCCAGGTACTTCCCACATTGGCTGTCCATCCATGGTGTAGGGGAAAGGCCAGGCACTTGGGTTTCTCCTAACCTACATTCCTGGTTGAGTGGTAGTGTGCGAAACGGACTTCTTCAGACATTCATGGGTACACCAAGACTCCCCCAATCATGGCAGGCAGGTTTCCCAGCCCACTCTGGCTACTGTGCTGATTACAAATGGTTATTATCCTCCTGGATGATTACAGTAGCCTCCTAAGTCATCTTCTTGCTTTCCATGCATGCTCCTGGCTCATACCTTTCAGTAGGTATTGTGATGCTCTTAAAATAGAGATCAGATTTTAATACTGCTCTGTTGTTCAAATAACTCAGAGTAAAACTGTAACCTCCTCCCAGATCTTTGATGATCTGGTCACCACCCTTTCTCTGACAAGACTCCTTATTTCTCTCCCTCATTCAGTCAACTACAGCCAGCCTTCTATCTTGCATTTTTCCTTGAGCATGCCCAGGACACTCCTGCCCTCAGCCTCAACTCCTCTTCCTCCAAGACAAACTCATGACTGGTTCCTTACCTTCCCTCAAGTCTCCACTCAGAAGTCAGTATGTAAGAAAGCCTCCTTAACCAAGCCCTATAATGATACATGTTCATGTGTTTCATTATTTATTTCTGATCTGACAGCTGCACTAAGAAAGATATAAGCTCCATGCAGGTGGGCACACTATATCATTCAATTCTATACCCCAAGAATAGAAGAGTGCCTGGCATGTGCTATAAACCCTCTGAACATTTGTTGAATGAATTAATTACATCAGACTTGAGAGCATAGGGAATACTTATTCATTAAATTTCTTTAAAAATACTTTGGCTTTTGAAAACCTCAATTAATCTTGCATATGATAAAAGAATTCTAAGTGATTTAGGAAGCCAAAATTGGTTTTATTTATAAGTTTAGTAAATGACTCTAATAGCAAAAATTGATTTAGATGCATATTTTAATCTTTAGCATTAAAACCCCAGTTTATACTTAATAGATATATGATTTTTTACAGCTAATTTAACTACTAGAACAAAATTAGGATAGAGATGGAATTAAACAAGATTGGAATTTTTCAAGGTGACCATGATGAAGAAAATAGCAAGAGAGGAGGCATATGCACTGGAATGAATAGAGTTACACCCGAGCTATAACCTGACAAAAGAGAGGAGAATAGTAAGGGGATGGGTGATACACTCATTAGAGATTCTAATTTTGGTGTATCACATATATAAATCAAAAGACAAATTTCTTAAAGAATGAACAACAATGCATGAGTTAATATTACCTCTGTTAAAGTTCTACTTCAACATGAAAAGGATTGTATTGAGTAATAAAACTTCAAGAAAAATAGAGTGTGTTTGTTTGTTTGTTTGTTTCGGACAAAGTCTCACTAAACTCCAGGCTTACTTTGGACTCTTGGTATCACCCTCCCAAGTAGAGGACTAGGATTACATTAATTGCGAAGTACATACATTTTAATAGGTGGTAAACAAAAGGAGCTTCACTTTACTAGAATCTGCCAGCCTACAAATGATGAAGCATAGTTCATTAGTTCTGAACATGGCACTTTGTATGAAACTTGAAAGCAATTTCAGCAGCTTTCCTTACTGATAATCTTTATGTTTAGTCAGTCTTGCCATTGGAATTGATCCACAAGACCCCATTATAATGAGATTTCAGTGGAGACTATTCTTATCTATTTTTATTGCAATGTATCTGTAGATAAAACCAAGTGTGAATCTTTAGTGTTCAGGTTATATTCCCGGTGCAAAGGCAGCTCACTTCCTGGTGAACAGATGGTAGATAAATCTACCAGAGGACAGGGATGGATAGAACTTATCTCCACAAAGTTTAGCACATGGAATGGTACATTGTTTGCCATGATTAATATAATTTTAATGTATATTAATTGTACAGATTATTGGATTTTTCTGTGACATTTCCATACATGTATATATGAACTTTGTTCTAATCAACCCTTCCTAAAGTCCCTCTTCTTCCTCTTCCTTCCAAACCCCTTCTACTTTATTTTTTTTTTTATTTAAGAGGAAAAAGAGAAAAACACAAAACAAACCAAAGCGGCGTAAGGGTACACGCAATACAGAACTACAAAACAAAACAAAACAAAACAAAACAAAAAACCATAACAGTAAGAAATTACCTGCTAGTAGATTACACACTATTTTCTTGAAAATATTTCCTCAAATCACAGTATCAAAGAACATAAGGTGGACATTCAAACAGGGAGACTGCAAACAGCTGTGTTCAATGTTCCAAAAACATTGATAAAGTCAGCTATTTAACACCCCCAAACACACTTGCTGTTATATCCGTTAGAGCTCTTTTTCTTTTTTTTTTTTCCCTCTCTTTTTTACAACAAAATTTACACATC